CCGGTAGCGACAAAAACCTGCGGGAAACTCTGCAAAAAACGCATCTTCGCACGGGCAGCCCGTGCGCTGGCCATTTATTTTTTTCATTGACTTAAAGAAACTTGATAAAATTCGTTTTTATGGTTGTGGATTTTCGCGATGCTAACCAAGGAAATATTTGCAGATTATTGAGGAAGAGCTGCAGAGGCGGCTTCCAGCTGAGAGAAATGAGCTGGTGATTAGGGAACAAATGGAAAAGCCGAGGCTGGCTGGTATCCGTTTGCATGCTCCAGAAAATGAACTGGAAAAAGTAAATGTAAAAATAACAATTAGCTAGTGAAATTTTTGCACTTTCGAGCCGAAATATTCTGAAAGCTTATACTTACAGTTTTCGGAATCGATAGACGAGTATCCGGAAAGTCAGGTTATTGAGCGTTATGAAGATCAACTAAGACCCAATGAGAAGCTTACAGCTGATACTCGCTTGAGTTTTGACGAACGACGAATTATTGATGATTATCGAAATGCTCAAGAAGAGTTCCTGGAACCACTGCAAGGAGAAACACCACAAATAGATTTTGGAGGTTCTGCATAATTCGCAGAAAGATTTGTTTGTCGAGTTCGTGGCAAAAAACGATGCGCGTTTCTCGTTCCCAGATGAGTGAGTCTAGAGTAAAACGTTTTTGGGATATCTTGCCGACCAGGGCTTTACTGATCCCATGTTCCCTGAATTTCAGTAAAGAAGAAGGCGGATTATCGAATTCGGGAGCAAGCGGAATATGATCGGTTAATCAGCGGCGTTACCGAGCCAACGACAACATCCGTTGATCTGGAAAATAGAATTACCCAGCCCACGAATGCGTGGGGAACCAAAACAGTGGCCACTACAAGCACCGAAAAGCCATCGACTGTGAGAATTGTTCCTGGTAAACCATATGCTTTACAAAAGAGATAGCAAAATCGGCTGGCATTTTGCTCTCGAGTGCTTCTGCCCCTCACTGAGAATGAACGAGAAGGATGTCATGACTTCTTGAATTTTAACCTGATATCGACTGCATGGATGCATAGGCTGACATGAAATTTCTGAGAGTCAGGGAAGTTGACATCGTTTGCTTCAGAATGATTGGCGACGCGCTCTGGATGGGCCCGTGCGATCGTGCGTTTTTGCAGTGTTTCGTGCTGCAATAAGGTCACTCGAAATTCCGCTAGCTAGAAACCTCTTGTGCATACTGGTCCTCGAATTTCAGAAATTTAATTATCCACGCTATACTTGGATTATCCACGCTAGGGAACATTCCCTTGAAATTCCAGGTTCCCAGCTTCCCCAGTTCCCGAATTACCCAAATTCCAGCCAAAATTTCACGGGGCCGTACTTGACAACCATGCATAACGCGGGGTTGAATTTGATAAATTTAAGTTGTAGATGAGTTGGAAACATTTCCTGAAAGTTTCGGCCTCTCAGCTTCCCTCGTTCCGGAGTTAGCCATTTTCACGCCAAAAATTTTTACGGGGCCATACGTGGCAACCATGCATGACTGGGGCTGAATTCGATAAATTTAAGTTGTTGATACGTTGGGAATATCCCCTGAAAGTTTCAGCCTCCTAGCTTCCCTAGCGCCGGGGTTATCCACTTTTCCACTAAAAAATTTCACGGGGCTGTACGTGGCAACCACGCATAAGGGGGGCTGAATCTGATAAATTTAAGTTCTAGATGAACTAGAAACATTCGTTGAAACTTTCAACCCCAGCTTTCTTGGTTCCCGAACTGACGATTTTCGCGCCAGGAACCCTCATGGGCTGTACGCGGGAAACGCGCACACCTGGGGGCTGAATTTAAAATCTTTGCGTTCTATATGGACGCGGAACATAATCCCAAAATTTAGCTTTCTAGCTTTTCTGGTTCCCAAGTTGGCGATTTTTCCGTCAAAACTTTGAGGCGCTCGTACGCGAGACCTAGAAGTGCTTGAGGATTGGTACCGCGGTCCTAGGGTGGCACTTGGCCGGGGATCCCACTCGTAAAATTTTGGCGCCGGAGCTTGCTTGAGTGCCGAGTTGAAATACCCGAACAGGCACGCACACACATACACACACATACACACCGGGGTCGTCGCAATATGCGTTTTCGCATTTGCATATACGCAAAAACGCATAAAAATGAAAAAGAAAACCCTCGCATTTTACATCTTCAGATGAAAGATGGTACTGGTGTGTGAATAGAGATGAAACGCTTTTCATCTTTTATTAATAGAATTCGCTGAGTGATCTAAAAGAATTCCGAACGGCAGAGGCCTCAGCAAGTAGACTGAAAGCAAGACCTCGGCACGCATGGTGTGGATTTAACAGTCACTAATAATTTTCACCAGGCAAAATTGAGGCCAACATCGGCACGAGTTTAGTATTACGCCCACATTCTTCATCACATCGTACTGAATACCAAGACTGCCACACAGTAAGCATCTTTCATGACAGTTACTTTACTGAGTCGCTTCTATAAACCGATTAAAACTATACCAGACAATAACAGGCTTCTAATTAGTATTACCCACCTTTCTTCGGAAGGTGTCTGAGTGGTCGCTTATCCTCTGTTTGTATGAAACACAGTAATGAAACAACAGATCTAGCTTTTGTGTTTTCGCAGCGGTGTTTTCAATGCATTTTAGGAAGTGCAGGAAGTGGGGGAGGGGGGAAAAGAGGGGGGGGGG